CTCTTCCTTTTCAACGCGATATTTTCACACGCGGAGGAGATTTGACACCGCAGGAAGAAACCATCACGGTGGGTGAATGAGTGGGTGAAAGTTCTGGTGCATGGAGTGTGAAATCAAACCTGATGGGTTTGACCGTTCCTTACGTTTTGTGGACAACCCGACAAGGCAACGTGCTCGCATAAAATCTTCCGCTTTTGTTTTTCTTAGTTTATTATAAATTGTTATAATCTTTAAAAAAAGAAAATCAATGTAAGATTTTATGTCACATAGATATTTAATTTGATGAATCCTAAAAAAATTGTTTCAATTAAAATGAAAGAATGACATTTAATTGATTCGCTTATAAAAAATAAGACCAAAATAATTTTTTATATTTATTTTGGAGATATAAATTTCTAAAACCTTGAATGAGGCATTCTGTGATCATTTTGTTATTTATCATCCGAGATTCATTTAATTCTTTTTTATAAAAAATAAAAATGTGCTTTTTTGTAACATTTAAATTGAGGGGGAAGAAGAAGAAGAAGAAGAGTGGGCATAATATTCCTATTTCATATAAGAGTGTTAGAATAGGTTGATGGATCGATTTTAGATCTGTCCTGGAACTGACTTGGCTTGAATCTAATCTAACTTTAATAAACGGGTGAAAAATTCCAACCCGAACTCGACCTACTAGCAACTCGAACTATTTGGTTAAAAAATCTTTTATAACTTAGAAAAAATATATAACTTATTAAATATAAAGTTCAGGTTAATTGATAAAAAATAAGAAGATTATACTCATAAATAAAAAATAAGGAAAAATTATATTAAATGGGTCATTTTTTGATTAAAAAAAATGCATTGGCGAGTCAACTCGAATATAACCCATTTAATAAATAGGTCAAAAAATCGAACCCAAACCTGACCCATTTATTAAATAGATCAGCCTAAACTCAAATTTTTTTAGTAGGATTGACGAGCAAGGTCATGTATGGAGTAGGGTACACATATTCATTCTATGTGGTCTATGTATATTTGTTCTCATGGGATAGATGGTGAGAGGTGATGAGATCTGAGGAAAGAAGTGTCGATTCTTGTTGCTAGGAAGCCTAATAATGGCCAAGTAGAAGAGTCAAACTGATGAGATGTTTGGCTAATTATCAACGTAAAAAGTGATGTGTGAATTGTCATGCTCAATGTCTTATAGGGTAGTACTCTATTTGATATTCGATCAATCAATCTTTCTTGAATGAAGTCGGTGTAATGTATTATTCTCCTAAGGCTAGGTTTTCTTTGGGGGTTTAAAACATCTCAATGAAAGCACCATAAAAGATATGAATAAAAAAAAATTAGTCTATTAGTCCACAACTTAGATTGACTAGTAATGGATGCATAAGAGGCCATTGGTGTGGTTGGAAGATTCACATGCATAACCCTCAGGCAGGTGTTGGGTGAAATTGATGGAGAGAAGAAGATGCTTTCGATCTAAGATACTTTCTAGCTCGTGGGAGTGATTCATATGTAGCAATATAGTGGTGATCGAGAGTATTGGCCCATACAAAGGAAGAAGTGGAGCCATAAGAAATAGTGTTGGTTCATTAATGGTATAAGATGGACATGAGAAAATAAAACCCGCTAAGCAAAGGGTAATCCAACTCGTTTGAAGGAGATTCACAAGAAAGGAAAAGGGATTTGATCACAAATCCTTCTATATTCTTAAGGAAACCAGTCCTAAAAGTGCTTAAAAACCCCACAAAAAAATTTGGACTATAGTAAGTATAGGAGGATTATATGAGAGAGATAAAAGATTAAAACTGATATTTTGCTCTTAGGCACCCGCTTATGATGAATCATAGAATATGTGGTAGGGGAAGGGAAGGGAATGGAAGGGAAGTGAAGGGAACCATAGTAGGAGTAGGAAATTAAGAGAGTTTTGATAGTTATGAGTCGAAAGAAAGATGAGTGAGACAAATAAGATGCTTAAGAAGAGTTCACTTGAGTGGTTGTCAAGCACTCAACAAGGACTAACTTTGACATATTTTTTGAGATAAGCATAACAAATCATGTGATCTTATCAAAGAGAGCACTCTCTTTCAGAATTTTGTGATCTAGGATAGACCAAACATCTACAGTATCGAGAAGAGCACCTCTGATGAAGGCTAAGGCCCGCAACTTACAATTCTATAGAAGAATAAAAACATATAAAAAAAGGGACATAATAACGACAAGATATACATAATTTGATATTATTGCATTCTCCCATAAGTTAGGTGGGAGAATTCCCATTATAGAAGACACAAAATATATGAAAGTATAAAAAAGGCCAACCTTGCTTGTAACCTAGCACTGACAATAAGGCTATAAAGCATAAAAATAAGTGAGAATAAGAATCCTCTAATATATACAAAAGTTCATATCTAACTAAAGTCAAAATTCATGATCTTAAAGGGAAAAATGAGATGTTTATATGTGCTGGAGGGGCCAAAATAATGCTAACATGACAGATGATGATGTGAAAAGACATAAGGTGCCCGCTATTCTGAGATACTAGCATGCTATGAGTTGCAAGATATATTACGTGCCAAGAAGAGATCTCAAGACATACGACATAAGCACTGTAGTTAATTGTTATGGGTCTTCAAGAGGGGTGTTAGTCATAGGCATAGTAGAAAGATGTTCGAGATATGAAGGATCACTAAACTAACAAACATGTGTTGCATCTAGAATAGTTGAGTTGACTTGCATGTGTTTTGGAAGGCATGATCTACGTTTGATGGGACTATTTAAGATACATATAAACATATGTAGAGATCATAAGGGTTATAATAGAGATTCATACCAAGTTTAACTAGAAACTAGGAAGAAGGCTTAGCAAGTTGAACTAATGATCAATCTTGAGGGTTGTTAGAGAGGCCAATTGGGACTCTTTGTAAGGGTCAAGTGATGTAATCGTGAGCAAAGTGGTCGACTTATCAAGGATACAGTCTTGGCCAAAGTGGTTGACTTATCAAATATATTAAGTTCTTGATGAAGTGTAAAATTATAGGAGTGGTCCATAACACAGAAAGCCTAAAGTTCTCAATTGGCGAGTTCATACCAAGGCGCTTTAAATGTATGAGCGAATTGTTAGTTTTATAGGACAACATTGATTGTAGTAAGTGGGAAGGCGTTAGAGGCCAACCTTGGGTTCAAATCACCTACGAGCCGAACCCTCGGTTGGTATAGGTGCTGGACCTAAGTTGAAGTATGAATTAAGTAGAACGAGCGTGACCTCGATCATCAAATCTAACAAATTGGTAGGCTCCCTGGGTGTCAGCTTTATGATATTGATCCGTCCGGGAAATGACCTTCAATGTATACACTAATGATTTGATGTCAATAAACTTATACTCTAGTAGAAGTGTCAAAATGATATTAATTGCTAGTGAACATTCCATCACATTGTGGCTATTTATCTTTTAATCTTCTTGGTTCCCCTCTTTCGCTCTCCCTCTCATGCATACATATGAAGTCAATGATCAAGAAGATGGTTATTTTAAAATAATAATGCCGTAATTATATTGAATTTGCACCACTCTTCACTAAATTTCAGATTTGTTCTTGAAGTAAATTTTGTAAAAAAAAAATTAGAACTTGAATTTATTTCCATCACGTAAAACAGAGTTGTGCAATCACAGAAGCGTTAGAATACATTTGGGATAGTATTTGTTATAAAATTAGCTACGAAATTAGTATGGTGAAAGCAAATTTTTTAAAGCTAGCATGCTCTTTTAACCTTTCCTACACATTCCACATTCTTTTATATCTGACTAAGAAAAAAAATTACTTTAAACTAATTTTTTTTTTAAATATTACTAAACTACAGTCAAACAAAAATTACTTTTCACTACAATTTTTTTTTTTAAATTTCAAATCCAGTTTCAGAGTTCAATTTCAATGGAAATTTCAATTAATCTTAATAAAAAAATATTACCAAAACACTTATTTAAAAATTGAATAAAAAAAGCCTTTATACCCCAAAAAAGGCAATTGAATTTTAATTATAGAAATAGGGGTGTCAATTTCGGGTCAAGGGTCAGATTCGGGTCAAACCCGAAACTAACCCGACACTATTCGGATAAACCCAAATCCGAACCATTTTTTACAAACGGGTCAGTTTTTCAGACCCAAACCCAAAGCGGCTCGAATTCGGGTCAACCCGATATGACCCGCCTCACACGATTTAGCCTTTCCTTTTCGCAGGCACGATAGGGTTGTGACAGGGTTAGCCTTTCGGCCCAATCTTACTGTTGGGGAGGATGGCGAGGCAGCGACGACGAGGGAGGGCTAGGCAACGACGATGAGGCAGCAGCAACAATGGACGACATATTGATGCACATGATGACGAGGCAACGACTAACACGGTCGACAATGCGATCAATGCCCTATGGGCTTAACGCAGACTATGAGCACAGCTGATGCGGCTGATTCGGCGACACTTCAAATGTGACCAACTTAATAGCTCTTCAAATACGAATGACGCGAATGTCGGATGGACAGATGGATGCGATTGACTCGACAGACCGACAGAGCAGAAACCGTAGGTCCAAGTCAAATTAGGTTAATTTCGGATTTCTGGGTTAACTCGAACCCGACTCAGTTTTACAAACGGGTTAAAATTCCTAACCTGAACCTTTCCCGATTCGGATTCGATTCAACCTGAACCAGAAATTTCCAGATCGATTCAAGTCGGTTTTTCGAATCGTGTCAAATATTGACACCTCTATATAGAATTATTTAATTAACATTTGATTCTAATAAATTTCAAAAACCTATATATGAATTTTGAGCAAAATCTTCTAATTTCATCCAAAACTCTGCTTTTTTTTTCTTTTTTAAATTTAAGACTTCATTTGGGGCAACTTCCTTAATGCTTTCTAAAGCAACATTATAGTACAAAAATCTTTTACCCTAACAAATTTTCTACTAAAATACAACTTTAAAAAACAAGAAGAAATCTTTCCCAAACTAAACCTAATCCTAAACTATCAAAATCAGCCAAAACGAAATATATTAATGAGTTTTACTCAATTTAAAAAACCTTAAAATTATGATCCTAAGACTCTGCAATGATAACCCTATGACCAAAGGAGGTGTGGACGCAAATGAGACCCTCCATTAAGAGAGAGAGAGAGAGAGAGAGAGAGACCCCATCTGCATGTCATTTTAGTAAGAGTTGCATAATAACCTTTTTTGTAGAGGTTTTACGCCTACATGATTGGAGAATTGGAAGTGGGCTACATAGCATCATATTTAGATTGAATTAGAGAAGCTCCCAAATTAAAAACACCAAACATCAACTCATTCAACAAAAGAGATGTTCTTGTCTGCCCATATCTTCTCTTTAGGCCCCACAAACATACAAAGCACAGCTCTCCCCCAAACCCGCTTCAAAAACCCACCGCCACCACCTCAATTCCCATCACCTCTCGCCCTTCCTTTCTCATTTCTACCTTTGTTGAAAGCTACAAAGACAGAAAGAAAGAGCAACGATGGGTAAAGAGGTGAGAGAGATGTTCAGGAAGCCTGGAAGCTGCGACGGAGTGGTGTGGCCATGCGCGGCCTGCAAGCTGCTGAGGCGGCGATGCGCACAGGACTGCATCTTTGCGCCTTACTTCCCCGCCGACGAGCCACAGAAGTTTGCCAATGTACACAGGGTCTTCGGCGCCAGCAATGTCAACAAGCTCTTGCAGGTTTTTTTCTCCCCCCCCTCACTCCGTTCTTGTAAGAATTTAACTCAGAATTGGCAAGATTTGTTGTTCCTAATTGTGGGCTTGAAGTGAATTCAAAATATGAAAACAAACATGGATCAATCTCTCGTGCCTAAGAGTTACAGTGCATAAGAGTCTGGTCTTCAGTGAGCCACCCTCTCACTGTGATTGGTTCGCTCTAATTAGCTAAAGGGAATTTACTTTAGAGAAAGTGGGACTGCCACTAGGACTCTTACTCCTCTTTCTGTCCCCCACTTACTGTGAAACTTCTCACACCAATGCCACAAAAGTGGAAATCTGGGTGGTCCATCCCCATTCCTTAAAATGAACTCATTATATCCCAAGACCAGGAGACAACAATCAATGCTTTTTTTTTTTTTACTTTGAATTTGGAATATTATAATAACCCCTAACAGTGTCATGAATTTAAATTTATGTAGCTGCAAGGATGGAGTAATTCTAGTAGAAGATAAGATTAGAGAGTCGTCTTAGATGGTTTGGTCACATAAAATGGCGGCCTTCCGATGACCCGGATAGGAAAGTAGAGGTATTAGATTTGACTTATGTTAAGAAAGGTAGAGAGGCAGACCTAAAAAGATTTGGTTAGAAAATATTAGGAATGACCTTTCTTTATTAGATTTAAACGAGAATTTGAATTTTAATATGACACAATGGAAAAAAAAGATTTATGTAGCCGACCTCACGTAGTGGGATAAAGGCTTGATGTTGTTGTTGTTGTAGCTGCAAGGATATTTTTCTAATAATAAAACCATCAGAATTCAAACAATATTAATAAAAGGATGGAGACAAGAAACTTCCTCCCAACCTTCCCAAAACCAACCAATATTATGGCAATGAAGCAAACAAAAAATGAAAAAAACCAGTATACTGACCTGAGACTGAGGCAAATGTTGGTGAAAATGGTTGCAGGAGGTTCCCGTGGGGCGACGTATTGATGCTGTGAGCAGCCTAGTGTATGAGGCGAATGCACGGGTAAGAGACCCTGTCTATGGTTGTGTCGCCGCCATCTCCTCCCTCCAGCGCCAAATCAACATCCTTCATGCCCAGCTCGCCCTCGCCCAGGCCGAGATGGTTCGCATCCGCCTCCACCATGCCTCATATGTTTCCCACTCCTCCACAGCTGCGACCGCCGCTGTTACCCCACTCACAGGTGGCACCAGCTCTTCCTCTGCTACCGCAACACCCTCAGACGTTGCACGAGCTGACATTGCCACAGCAAAACCGCTCTTCAGCTATGACATGCTCCTTGAACATGCCCATGGCGGCCAGCCAATGTGGTCATATTAGCTCTATTTAGTTCTCTGATCTCTCTAACTATGACCAGGAGGTCCAAGCTTAATAGAGTATGTCTTAGTTGGTGTGTGGCTTTCTCTAACCAACATGCACATTTATATATATGTGTGGTGCTGTTTCAGTTTGGCGACATTGTATCTACCACACAAATATGTATTTTTTGGAGTATAATAAGAAATTTCAGGCTCCTTCCTACATTACCTGGAGGCTAAAACAGAGTTTAAATTCAGAGAGCAGAATTGCAGCTCGGATAAATTTGTGAAAATGATGGAAAAAAATAAAATTTTCTTCGGAGAATTTAGATGCAAAAAACGGGAAAAGACCTATGTAGCTTTGTCTGCTTAGTGGTAACGGCAGAAAGCAATTCAACGGCAATGAGAAAAGGTGACATCGGGAAAATATACAGAGTGCCAAGCACTCGAAATAAACTGTTAGTGCTATGGATAATCTGTGGAAATACAAAGAAAATTTCACAGTTTAGACAGTTATTAACCAAGTTTTGAACTTCAATAAAAAGAAAAAAAGATGGACACATCTTTCAATCAAGCAAAACAATGTGCCAAACCATATATTCGTACACATGGAACTCGGGAACTTCATTTCAACCAGAAACAGCCTTAGATTAACGTTAATAGTGGGTGCAACTAAATAAAAGTGAAGAGCGCTTATCTGCTATCAGAAAAACCTACTTTAAGATAATTAAAGCAACTCTCAGGTTACTTTTAGTAAAAGTGTAAACCTATAAAAAATGTGCACATTGTGTATATACTTATAAAATAGTGGGGTAAATTCAACGAATGTGACATCCTACGTTCAGCATATAGTTGTGGCTCATGCAATAATAAGAGCATCTCCAAATGAAAAACTCATTTTTCACTTCAAAATATAGTAACAATCCAAACTGCAGTAACTCGTCTCCAACCAAGCTCCATTTCATAACACAAAAAGAAAATATTTTCGGTATATTCTTTCTCCAACAAAAAATGTCGTTTGTGAACAGTGCGATGCGACACACTGTTCATGTTGCAAGAATGACATAGCTTTTTGCATTCGATGGAGCAGCTCGCGAATGGCAAATGCTAGTTTAGCGTTTGGTTGGAGATGGCCTATTGGTAGATTTATAATCTTGAAAATGTGAACCGATAAACACTGCAAATATTGCTGACATACTAAGCTGAAGATTTGCTTTATCGTCCCCTAAATAAAACTAGCAATGACCTCAAAAGAATGCATCTTAGTGCTCATTTGGTTGCTTATTTAAAAAATATTTTAAAAATAATAATTTTATTTTCATTCATTTTATGTGAAAATAAAACCATTTAAATTCAAATGATTTTTTAGAGGATTTATGCAATTAATGTTGATTTCTAACTCCACCCTAAATGATGCATCCAACAAAGTTCACTGGTGTTCAAATAATGTTTTCTAGCAACCAAATGAGCTCTTGCGTACCCACCAGGAATAGACCGTTTGTTTAGAAGACTAATGATCCAACTCCTGCATACAGCTCTAACCAAGCTTGACTGAAATGCCTACATCCGATGAACAAAAGATGCTTAAAGATTTGAATCAATCAGAACACAAAATTGGATAAATCCTTTAAACGAATTTAAAAAGAATAAAAAAGAATATATATTGATATCATGTAGGGTATATCAGTTGGCGCATTTGGCATAAAATGCATGATATTAACAATCTCTTGCACAACGAGATAAACTTATGATAGCTGGAATATGCAGGAAGCAGTTCTTACTAATTTCCTTCTAGAATCTTCAGAATATGTAATATATGAGTATTATTTTCATGCAAAAGGTAATAAATTAATGTGTAAGCAATTGCATAAAAATATATTTTTTTTTTTGTATTTCAGACGTTTCAATATCATCCTACTTCTCAAGACTAGTCTATCCAATGTCCATATCGTATACAGCTTCATAGTTTAGCTCCTATTATATAGGCAATATTGGACCATGAATAAAGAAGTTCAAATACATACAGATTTAAAGAGGGATCGTCAAGAAACTCCACGAAAATCATTCAGGATGACTGCAGGTGATTTAAACAAAGCATGAGAAACTTTTGAGGGTGAAAATATACATCTGCCTACTAGTCACGGATCACTACAATAAAGGGATGAAAAAGGAAGCACGTGCCTTACAGGATACAAAAGCTATTGCTAACCATTTACATGAATACTCTTATGAACTCTCATCATTCTTCTCAACATCAAATTATGCTTAGCATCTGATGTCTCTAACTGTACAGAACTTCAGGAAGCACCACTAGAGCTGAAGGGGAAAAAATTTTCTAATTTGCAGCTTACAGACTTTTCTATTAGCTCAGAATTAGAGCAAAGGAGCACTCCTGGAAGTGCAAAAAAAGCATTTTTAGGCCTCAGCTGATCTCAGTAACCTGCATAGAACGATCATTTGAAGCTGACACAACATGGGTACATCAAGCAAAAAATATAAGAATAATTAAACAAATAAATAAATAAACAGTGGAACTAACTGAACTAAAAAGGAAACCAACCATCACTGCTTTACTTTTAATGATGCGACAAGGGCTAAGCTTGCTGCTACGCCATAATACTTTCATTAAAAAACTTGTCATAAAAAATCCCAAACTGGTATGGTGTAGTGGCCTTGGTCTCCTCCCTGGGGTCCCAGCTGGGAATTGCTTGCAACAAATTGAAGAGCGTGCATCTCAGAAGCCTGAAATACCGATTTGTCATTCACAGAACACATCCATATTCAAGATGAAACGATGCACTAACTATAAATTGAATATATGTAAGATATTATATACAGCGATGTAATCAATTGATTCTGAGTTCCTACAAGGATACCTGGCCTAAATGAGTTTCACCCGGGAATGATTGCTGCTGCAACACAGGAGCTGAAAATTCCTGCATGTATTTGAACACAAATTTAGCTAGAAAATGGAAATAGGTATCCCTATGGAAGTATGGAGTAGATGCTTATTTGGTTATTACCTGAGTAAACTGAGGTGTTCCATGAAAACCATGAAAGGAACCAAGTCCAAATTGATGGCCAGGTATGTACGGCCCCTGCAGCTTTTACAATATGATTGTCACAAAAGAATGAAGCTCATTTTATGTTTATCACTTAGTATTTTCAAAGAGAGCTACCTGGAATGATTGACTTGGGGGGAAAATTTGATTTGAAGAATTCCTAGTCTGGGAAGGGATCTCATTAGATGCCATAAGTGGATCATTAGCATCCATTGAAACCTCTACAGCATCAGATTTTCCTGTCAACATAAAAGAAAAAGAAATAAGTAAATTAATTTTAATATCCATGCATGAAAAATAATTTCATTATTTGGCAAACCTGTAAGTCCCTTGTACTGTTTACTCATATCCATCCCATTTTGCTGCCTACGACGAACTGTGGCATCATTTTTCTTTTTCCCACTTGATCTCCTAGATTCACCATTGTTCTCATTATCTATGCCTTCACCTTGTATCTGACTCTGTGATTGACCTTTTGAAAAATTGTTCATGGAAGTTTTCTCAAGAAGTTTTGTTTGAAGTATCTGTTCAACCTGTTCCAAAATCTGATTTGACTGGTTTTCCATGAATGCATATGCATGAACATTTTGAGCAGCCCTTGCAGCAATTCTATACAATATGCGGCATAAGGAGCTATAACGTTTTTGTAGAGATGACTTGGGGTCATCCTGGAGCGTAAACCCCTCATTGTCCCTAATGAGTCCAGATTTCACATCCTTGCTCCACCGCTTCAAAAAGTATTGTGGTGCTAGCTCTTTAACATTCCTGCAGTCAAGCACCCTCAACACATGGCAACACTGAATCCCAACAAACTCAAACTTCTTGCAGCTACAAAAAACTGAACCATCTGATATATCAAACCTTACAAAGTACAGCTTGGATTTATCCTTAACTGCCACCTCATATTCTGATACAGTTCCCTCATATTCTGATACAGTTCCCACATCACCACAGCCGTAAACTATACAATTTGAGAGAAGATCAAATTCCATTTTAAACATCTCAAAGGCAGCATGTGTGTACACATTTGCAGCTTGCCACAGGAACCTCAGCGTAGTTGCTCTCGACACGCATTGACTGCTAAGATAATCAGCTTCTTGTTCCATGTACCGCCGTTCTTTCACAAACTCCTCATACTTGTTGAGAAACTGTAAGAGATCTATTTCTGGACTTAAATATTCTTTCAACACACTGTTTAAGCCATCTCTTCGTAATGTGTTAAAGATATCTGCATAAAAGGTTTCTTGCCCATAAGGCAAAGCCCATTTCTTCCTCTCTTCATATAAATTAGCTAGCCATTCATTATCTTTTAAACCATATCTTTCTAACAGAGATGTCCACGCAGTTAAGAAATCTTCCTCCTCTTGGAACTCAAAAATGCACTGGTTGAAATCAAGTAAAAAATTTTCCAAATCTTTGAAATCCTGAGTTAAGTTCTTAGCAACACTTTGATATATGTGCCATATACAATAGCGATGAACTACGCTAGGCCATACAACAGCTATGGCATCACTAATGGCAGAGCTTTGTCCAGTTAAGATTGTCTTAGGTTGTTTACCACCCATAACTGCCTTGAAAGTCTCAAATAACCACTTGAAAGATTCCACAGTTTCAGCATACATAACCGCAGCACCAAATATAACAGTTTGCTTATGATGATTAACACCAGTAAACAGAACAAATGGTCTACCACTGTCAGCATCTTTATAGGTTGTGTTAAAACATACAACATCACCAAAGTAGTCATAATCCATAATCGAATTTGTATCTGCCCAGAAGATATTTGTCAACTGATCATCTTCATCAACCTGTATGGCATAGAAAAAAGATGGATTTTCACTTTTCATTCTCTGCAAGTATGTTAGCATGGCTCCTGCATCTCCCATCGGCATACTCCTAGCTCGCTTTAACCTTAAGTAGTTTTTGTATTCAGAAGGTATCAGTTTGGTTCTATGATGATTACCAAACTGCATTTTAGTTAACAACTTCTGTGACTTGAACATTTGAATATCTAATGGAGCTGCTAAATCATGATTATGCTCTGACACAAATTCACTCACACTATATTTACCATTAGACATAAGTTTAATTGCCATCCGGGCAGGACATCCTGTTCTAGTCTCTGGCCTTGCTTTTTTCATCTCATTTGCAAAACTTTTAGGGCGAAACCCTTCTTTTGAGCACACATAAACCCTTAGCCGAGTAACACTTCTAGCAGTTTTATCCCACCATCCCTTTCGAACACAGAAACCAACATTCCCAGCATATCTGAGATAAAATTCATATGCCCTGTCTTCATTTGCAAATAGCATACCAATTTTTGGTTCTTCTACTACACCTGTTATCTCTCTTATTAGTGGTTTTGGCTTTCTTGCTACAACTTTATCCTGCATTTCATAAGTCTAAAAATAACTCTGAGTTAAAACATGATATAATGCAGAACATGTCTGCAAATTAAGCAACAGCTACATAGCATTTGCTAACATGAAAAATTGTAGCATGATGAATGTACGGGTATAAATATACATCTAATAGCATGACTGCATTAGACAAATACAGTAAACAAAAAATCATTAGCATGATCCATCTCATAAAGACAAGGTTCCAGCAAATAATTAAACAAGCAATGTGACATGATTGAAGTAGCCCGTCTTCAGGAAACCAAGAAAAACAAAATCCTTAAATTTGTTTAAAATTTTATTATTAATAGACTAGTTTGTTCGCTCTAGAAAAATAGGCGTGAACCTCGCTCTCACGAGCTTAAGATCCTTATTTTCCCAAGGTAGATTGAATTTTAAATTAACTAGATTTCTACTGAGAATAGTGTCAGGGTTTGTTTAGATTTGAGTCATACTTCCTATGAGCGCAAACCATCATACTTAATTACCATTCTAACGCGTAGAAGAACACTCTCGATTAAGGATGAAATTATATTTAGTTTGTGCATGAAGTACAGATGTGTGCAACAGTGTGTGAATATTCTAAACCCTGGTTGTGGGGGATGAAGGTAGACCCGATCAAGATCTCATGGTTCCGTCATTCTGAGAATATCGTATGGTTCAATCTGCCAACACTAGCGACCATTGATCGTAGTGCTAGGGAATCTGATTAGCATCAATGGGTTGCCTCCTTTCAGGGACCCCAAGTAAATTGAAACGAATATATATTCATTATTTAGCTTGGATAGGGACTTATGACTCCATTAGAAGTTGTCCATAATTTAAATTTGAATTGGGTCTTACGGCCCCGTTTAGGAGTTGCCCCTAGTTTGGATTTGGGTTGAGGCTTACGACTTTCATTTGAAAGTAACCCGTGTGATTGAATATAGGTAGGGGCTTATGGCTTTCATTTAAAAGTAGCCCTAATGACAGGTCTTCTGACCTATATTAAAGGTGGCACAAATAGCAGGTCTTGCAACTTAGCCATATAGAATAAGATGCCCGCGTATTTTCCTCAAAAATCGTACTTACAGCTTTCATTGAAAGTGACAAGAAACTTTAGGTTGTTATCACTTCACTTAATAAATATATATACTTAGTGAAATAATTGCTGATACGATTTGCTACTCCTACTAGAAGTAACCTATAGGGCTCATATCAGTAAAGACGTAGCTTTACACAGTTCCTTGCCTCGACACCAGTTTTAGTGTTTCGTAGCAGTGCTACTCCTAGTAGAAGGAACAAAGATTGTGAGTGCTACACAATTCTATTTGCTGCATCGATATCATGAGTTCATGACTCCTAATCATGATTCTATTCGTGATCCCTTGCAATCATCTATTATGAGACAGCAATTCCTTATGATTTATGAGCTGCAATCTTTGTGACTCTTTCAATTAGATTGGCCTACATATTCTATCTTCTAAATTTTATTTATAATTCATGGATGTTTATGGTTACAAAGAGGGATGTCTGAGGCATATAAAAATATTTCATTTGATTTCTACTTTGATGAGCCAAAAATGTGAATATATACAATTCCACCTCATCAACTAAAATTTCAGGATGTTATCACATGGGCAAGATTTGGTAATCTCTTATCTTTTTCCACTCTATTCTTTAATTTCAAGAATTTGATTTAATTGTGTGATTGAATTTTGTCAATTTTGGTACAATATTGGTTTCAACTGTAGCATGCTTTTCAATTAAATGTTGATTTTATGCTTTTGAATATCTACATATTATTTTTTACTAATTATTAAATTATCATTCAAGTCAAATTTACACATGTTTTATGATTTCATCTAAAAATAATAGCCTAATTTAAGAGTTTATGAACTATGAATTTAAGAGTGCATGTGAGATTTTCTGCACCATATTTGCATTATGAAACCCTAGACTCTAAGATATCTACATCAACTTCTTAAGATGGATCCTTCCTTTGAAAATTTCTTAGTTCATTTTGTGATGATATACCAATCAATTCCATGATCAATGGTGTTTTGTTCACAATACTAACTATGGGTCTGCCTGGGGCAAATTTTTTTGGTACTTCCTTTTTTAGACTACTACCACACTTCCATGTGCCTACAACTTTCTTATTATTTTTTAGAATTTTTCATTGTAAGAAGTAGCTTTTTACAACTAGATAGGTTAGATTTTGATAGCCAAAAAAAATTATCGTCTGACTTCACAAAAAGAAAAATTTTATAATGCCCACAATAAATAAAAACTACTTTTTTCACAACAGTTCGACATCTACTTTTAAAATAGTTACACTCACTCCAAATGGATCATATAACTTTTGTATGATAGTGAAGTATTCTAATACGGGCTCTATTATAGCACCAAGAAGTTAATGAATGTCGGACACAATTAGGACAAAAATATCCTTCTTAAAACCTTCTAAAATTGAAATAGAATAAGACCCTTGATTAGAATTTTAAAAAATATTTACTTAACATGACAACAATTCCATCAAACATATAAACGATGTTAATATTAACCTCCAAAGAGCTTCACGTAATAGATATTGATTCACTCGTTTGATTCAGCTCAACATTTCAATCAAATTATCATCTTCATCTTTAGCTTTAATCGAACTATTTGGGGTCAGTTTCTTTACGCCATTACTCTTTCATTGAGTATTATTCCGTGTTGCTATTGTAGGATTTCTGCTACTTTGGGAAATTTGTTTCACAATTTACTTGGCACATGTGGTTCCCAGTCATGGGAATATTCAAAGCAATTTTACTCGAATTTATTCAATGCAAATATTTTAAATTTAAGACTTTAGATGAGGTTATATATATATATATATATATATATATATATATAGACACTACAGGAAAACATATATATATATATATGTTAAGAGGCATCTAATCTGATAACTTTGATTGGCTAAAATTTCTTCTTCTAGTCTTCAATCATGTGTGTTCAAGTTGGATATGTGATTCCTTCTAACATGGTATAAATGTGAGTGTGGTATAAGTATGAATACCTAATAATGAGAGAAGTCATCTCATTGTACCGTCATAAAGCCTAGATTTCTTACTTTGGAGAATTCTTGCCATGATATAATTTATTTAGGTAATTACTTGACTTGCTACTGTTGATAGTGCTCCTGATCTTATACAGATTTGAAACAACTAGAATTCAAATCAAGGTGACTAAATTATAAATGTTCACTGATTTTATGTGATTTGGATTTTTCATTGATTTATTCAGATTATCCAATAATTATATTATCATTTAAATTATACTTCGTATAGTTGTTGTTTTCATTTACAAAAAGTCATTTTTTGCCTAATTTAGTGATTTGTGATTCATGAGTCCTAAAGTTTACTTATTTGATTTACATCTATCCCATCCTAATACTTGCATTAGGTATCCTAAGTTCCTAACCATGAACCATCCTGCATCAATAAATATAATTCTGCCAACAATGTGAATTGGAGATATGTCAAATCCAAATTAAATGATAAAATAATAGCCTGTCTAAACCCCTGGAAGGTTTATTATATTAATACTTCAAGAAATTAACTGCCAGAGAAATTGGATCATATAAAATCATACAATGAATTTAGTTTTGAGTACATACGTGTTGGAAATCTCAAAGAATTATCTACTTATAAAATGTTTAATACACCTAATTTAACTTTATATTATGCACTGCGAACCATCACTTGAGTTTCTCTCTTGTTTCATCTCCTTAAGGATTCACATACATCATACTATTTGCACAACACGCATGTTTCATATTAGTTTTATTTCTCACGTCATTATTAGAGAAGAAATTGTGTCCACATCTAATGGTGAATGCTGAAGAAATTTTATTAAGTGGAAAGGAAGGTATACATGAGACGATCCATGAATTTCTCTACAAAAAGTAGAAGTACTATGCCCAGCTCTACTTGATAAACATCAACTGAACACATTGTTAAAGTAATTTTTTATCAAATCAGGCAAATTGAAGTGAATCCTTTCACTAACGGTCATTTTCCATATGTTTGATTAACTTTCCAACAGGATTCTCGAACCCTATTGATTCATGCCTTGCAAACTTCTTTAATAATAGGATTCCCTCTGTGTCATTCCTAACAATTCAATTCTCATGACTTTGAGCCTTATGAGATCTTATTTGTGGCATGGTATTGCAAGTTTGCGACTTCTAATCACTCGGCTTCTATGGATCTGTGACTCATTCACTCATGCCTTCCCTTCCTTGTGGTCTTTGAGTTGCGGCTGTAACACGATCTTATGGCTCTTTAAGTTTAAATAGGCTTACCGATTATATTTTCTGACATTCAATTTTCATTGAGGGAGGTTTGTGACTATAAACATGTATTTCTAAGGCATTTAAAAACATTCTACTTTGATGAAATAAACTTTCTGATGTATAAAATTCCTTCAAGCCTTCTAAAATTTAGAGAGAAATTATCACCTTGTACTAGCATGAGGCATGATTCTTCTGTGATGACCTCTTATCTTTACTTGCTCCTATTCTTTATTTTTTATAAACTAGTTTGATTGTGATTGAATTTTGTCAAATTGGTAAAATCTTATTTTTCGTTGTAATGTAATTTTCAATCGTGCATGTTATCTTTTTGAATATCTGTATACTATTTCTCATAAACGACTATTGAAATATCATTTGAGCCAAATTTAAATGTGTTTTCTGATTTTCCATCCAAATAAATTAATAGTTGTATGAATGAAATGTGAATTTTGTGCATTTTTTCACATATTTGCATTAGGAAATCATACACTGTAAGATTGATACGTCTAGACCACTCCAGCCGGCCCAGGCCTTGGGCCTGCTCAAAACCTATAGTACGCGGAAGCCTACTAATCTGCAGGCTCAAATTGCCGTCCCCATGGGAGTGGGGTCCATGGTTTAGGGAAGTGAGAGTGGGGCTGCTTAGTCATTTTAATTATTTTTATGTTTGTTTTAATTAGGA